CTGACATTGTTCTTAGGCATAAGTACCTCATACTGCTACAAGCTCTAGAAATGTTTTCATGGATGTTTTATAATTTAAACAAGTTAGTCTCCAAAACTGTGTATTGTTTCTTGCTTTTCAGCTCATAAGAAATAATTTAGGGAAATACTAAAAAAATTTAAATCTAAATTCAACATCCTGCAATAATTAACACCAGAAAATTCTATAAAAAATCATGCCAGTACTGATTATTTTCAGTTGATAAAGATCATTCATTTACTCAAAATAAATAGACACTTATTGAATGTTTAATTATCTGCCTTTTAATTTTAACTTTTTTTCTCCTATTTTTGCCATCCTCTTTCAGTATTAATATGCAAAACAGCAGATGGGTTTTTTTATGAGATAAGTACAAAAATAGTGGCTTGGGAAATCAATTTATAGGCACTCTCAGAGGTATAATAGTCAGCCCTATAAATCTTACCAAAAATCTATGAAAAGAATTAAAAAGGCTATTGTAGCTAGTTTCATTGAAGAGGAGAGTATGTCAAAGAGAAGTCAAAGAACAACAGTCCATTAATACTGAGTTTACTGTAACCTTGACCTACTCAATGTTCATACTTTAATTGTAGAAAGTTTTTATGATTATTTTGTTTTAATAATCATAAAATAACTATTTATTTTTCAGTTATTTTCTAGGATAATGTATAACAAATAACAGAAATTTCATGTGCACAAAATTATAGAATTAGTAATACCCATCTGAGGAGTTCAGGCTGAATTTGAGACTTCAGTGTTCACCTATCATTGCTGGAATACTTGATCATTTAGAAGGAAATGATCTAAGGGTAAAATAACATTTAGAGTTGTACTTCTGCTATTTGAATATTGCTGTCAGTCAGACAGTCTAGGAAGTCTAGTCAACTAAAGAAGAAAAGTCTTAACTTTGACTCATCTCCAGTGATCTTCATTGTGTTATGGCTGGATCAAATAATAAAAAATACATGTAAAGTAAATGTAGGTCTCAAGCTGTTAGATAAAACTCAAAGGATCAAATCAAATCTTTTGCTATGCATTTCAAAACAGGAGATATGAGGTATGCCTTTATTGGTTTTGCTAACAGAAAAAGAACTGTCCTGGGTTCAGCAGTAGCAGTCATTTTTCTCCTTCTTGGTAGCTGGTGCAGTGCTGTGTTTTGACTTTTGGCCTGGGAACAGAGCTGATAACACTGATGTTTTGGTCAGGCCAAGGACTTTGTGAGCCTCATGCTCTGCCAGGGAGGAGGGAAGCCAGGAGGAAGCAGAGACAGGACACCTGACCCAAACTGACCAAAGAGGTATTCCATACCACAGCACGTCATGCCCAGGATGTGACTGAGAGTGACCCAGAAGGGCTGGTAGACTGCAGGGTTGGACAAGGTATCAGTTAGTGCTTGGTAGTGATTTGTGTTATACCTTAGTTACTAAACTGTTCTTATCTCAACCCATGGCAGTTGCATTCTTTTGATTCTCCTCTCTGTCCTTCCAGGAGTAGGGGGAGGGCAAGAATGGGGGCAGTGAGTGAACAAGCTGTCTGGCTGGGTTTAAGCCATGACAAGAATATACATAGAAATGGCCTAAGTCTCCAGAGAGACTTTGGTAAAGGACTTGTATGTTACAGTCTTAACCTCCCAGTTATCAGAGTATATGATATCAGGTCTAAATAGTGGGTTCTGGTTGGTACTGGGTTTTGTTTTTTTAAGACTTTGAGCAACTGTTCACACATTTCAGCATGAATAACTTGTGAAAGTTGTTCAGGAACACAAGGTAAAAAATATTTTGAGAAAAGAAAGCAAGGTCAGAGAAGGATGGAAAGAAACAAAAACCTTAATCTCAAGATATTGTAGATGTCTCTGCAGTCAGTGATACTGGAGCATTTTAATGTTTTACTAGATTCCAAATGGAATCTATCTTAGAATGAGCAAACCTCAAGTAATGATTTATTTATGTGCAAGGCCTCTTAAGAGCAAGGTGTCTAAAAAAAAATTGTCCTGTTTACTCAAGGTTGTTGGCAGGAGTACTGTCTGTGAGATACTGCTTCCTTCATTTCAGCAAGGAATAGAAAGAACCTTGTGGACATAAACTCAGCCAGTAAGGACAATTTAGTGATAAGCTTTGTTAGCTTCTACTGCCAAATTTTCCAGAAAAGAAAAATCCCAGAACTTGTTTCACAGACTTAGGCTCCTGTAAAACATCCTAGGGGTGCATTATCTTCATAAGACTAGTGTAACAAAAGAGACTCAATTGTTTTATACTCCTCGCAAAATATGAAATCTCAAACATTCATATTTTCATCTCCATCCTTATGTGAGGGGTAGACTTAGTCCATTCTTCTTCTCCAATTAGCAGTTTTGTTCTACAGTCATTTGCAAAAGAATACAGGTTTTAAAAGATTTTTTAAAAAACTGCATTTACTGTCTTTAATTTGTCAGAGTGAATACTACTACAGGAGCATCAGACTAACTAATCTGGTAGTTGAGAGTGATATAGATTTGACTTATTTTCTTACCACAGACTCTACTGCTTACATTATCAGTGCAGCTGGCCCAGAAACAGTCTTTGACTAAGAGTCCTAGATGTCAGCAGTTTCTGCATCATTTTGTATTGATAGTTTTGACTTGCCAGCAGATCAGACCAAGTTCATCTAGAGCAAAACGCTTGTAAGAACTACTCTAAATCAATGGATGAATATGCTGGCTGATTCCTGATAGAAATAAACAGTTTTTACACTCCAGGCAAAAACTATGGCTTGCACGCATATTCTGAATGACAGTTACATGATGTTTACAAATTATTACTTTGTATTTACTTATCATCACCACAAAAGTATATAATTTGACAGTCATTATTCTGCCCATGGAAAAACAGTTTATTGGGAATATCGGAGAAAAGAAGGCTGGAAAAGCTTTGAAGGAATATTTAGTTCATTATTTTGCCCAAAGATGGAATCATCTCTATCAAACCTGTTTGTCTAAACTGTAACATCAAGCAAACCCTATGCTGCCTTTGCAAGGCTAATAGTCAAGTCTGTTATTCTGTTCATTTAGGTAGTATTTTCTACTTTATTTCTGTGTATTGGGTTGTTTCACCGATAGTTTACTTGTTAATTTTATTTGTTTCTCTGCCTGATGCAGTCATCTGTAGACAGATTGTCCTAGTAATGTATTAATGTGCCATTGCCATGAAGGCATCTGAGCTGGCTTTAAATGAGTAGTTCAGATGCTTTGCTGTTTTCATTGCTGTGACGACAGAATTCCCAACATTTTGTACCTTAACTATACTACTGTTGTATACACAGCTTAACACAGGTTATGATAATTTTAACTCTTGATTGATGAAGGACTAGTATTAGATAGCTTTCCTGTAAGCAAGTACATATTTAACACTTGAAACATCAAAAGGAGAGGTTGGTACATAAAAATTATATAAAGTTTTAAAAGGGACTCCCCATTGAATGTCATCACCAGTATGTGAAAGAATAAACTCACCAAGATAGATTTAATATTATTTGCTGATGTGGTATAAATTGTGCTATCTGGATGAAAAGTTACTGATTTAAAGTACAACAGTAATTGTTTAAGAAAACAATTTATCATTTTCAAATTATATCTCCCTTGAATTTTTGTGGGTTTTTTTTGCACATTATACTTTGTATCTACAGCTGGTATATCCTGATACTCTTTTACTCTTTTTCTTTTCCTTTTTCTTTTTTTTTTTTTTTTTCATTCTCAAGAAAGCAAAAAGAAGAAGATAATTCAACAAGGAACTAGGAAAATGTATATTTAAAAAAAAACCAGTGACACTCAAGCAATATTTTTTAACCTTTATATCCGTTGGAAAAGCCTTTGTATGTTTATTGAAGAGAAATAACCATTTAAATAAGTTTTGTAAATAAAATTTGGATTAATTTTATCCCTTTAAACTTCACCATGATTTTTCTGTTTGAGGTCAGAGCTCAAATGTTTACGCTTCTAAAGGCAGAACTAAGAGTAATAGTCCTTGTACCTCAGCTGACTTTTGTAAAACACAGCCAATGTTGTATATTGATACTAAAACTTTTGGTAACATTAGTGACCTGTCTTTTGATGTTACTGCAATGTTGTTGCTGAGTTCCTCTTTACTCTCGCATTTAATGCAGCCCAGGGTTTTAACTTGGAAAGCTTCAGAGCTGAGATGAAAATTGTCCCCATTATTTCACTCATTTCCCCAAACCCATTAATTTAAATAAGAAGGACATGGAATGTTAAATATTATTAAATGATAGTTTCTTTATCTTTCAGTTACTGTATTCATTATCAAGTGATATTTATCTGTGACATTGAACATTTGTGCCAAGTTGCAATTAGTCTTGATCATGCCTGGTCAAGCAGTCTCAAATATAACTAGAAAACTTAAGATGCCCCATCTTAGTGAAACCTTCATCTTCTTTTGTAAACAGAAACTATATAACTCAAAATATTAATTCAAGAATATTTTGTATATGCATTATCGGTATTTAAGGCTCTTAGTATTCAAATATTCACATGAAATAAAATATGGAATACAAGTAATATGCAGTGCTTTTAATTAATATAAAGCTGCCTTTTGTAAACAATAACATTGCGTGGGTTTCTAACTGCTGGCTAAGCCTCAATACTTGTTTCTCTTCTTGTGCCCTCCACAGTGAAAGTGCTGATATGACCCAAACAATGATAAACTAAGAAAGATCCCAAATATCTTAAAAAAAAAGGAAAAAAAATACCAAAAGTGACTGTAAACATATTCACAACCAGGAATATTTCTTACTCATACTTTTCATGAAAATATCAATATCTCTCCAATACGAGCACTTTAACCTCTCTAGCAGCAGGTAAAACAGGTAACAAATGGTTATATTTGCAGAAACTAACTTGCATGCAATAAGATTTATTTAAGGGAATAGCACTTCCCTTTGTGTATCAATCATAGTATTTTATCTTATACCATTGCTTTTCTTCTACTCACCGCAATGAGTAATATATAGACAAATGTATGCAGAAGCAGTCTGTGTCTCTCATTCTCATTTGCCTTGCTGTTGCTCTCTTATTAGCTGTCGCTATGCAGTCCTCTAGACACAGTGTGGCAGGAACTCTGTTACCTTGACAGTAGGTACAGATGCAGCTTTAGCACTTGCAGTCTGCCTCACGTTTGTAACACCCTCGCTCCTTCCGGTCATTTGTTCCAGGGGAGGAATGACACCAGCATTTCTGAGCTGTTCTTGTGTTTTCTCCCAGAACACTCGGGGAAAGCAGACTTCGTGATCTCCATGCTAACTACCAGCCTGCCTGCTGCCAGTTCTCCGTACTTCTGCCAGTGATGACATTCAGCTTGCTCCTCCACACAGGATACAGCACTGATTCCTCATTATGTAAGGCAGTCTAGGTCAAGTGTAGGAGAGAGACTGCTGGCCTGAGCAAGCTAGTGGATTGCTCCCCCAGCTTCATGCTTCATGGGGTCTGGAAGCCGGATCCTGATCTTTGCTACATCTTCTCAGGTAAATGTTTTTGCATGATTTAAATGGTTACTGTGTTCTTTTTCTATGCAGACAGCTGTCAGCCATGCTGTGAATTGCAGAGAGAATTTGCTAGGTGAAAAAAGCTCTGTCAGCATGATTGCATTAAAAGAGTAGTAGTTCTTCTAGGCATCTCAGCTTTAAGACACTTTATAAATAAATAAATCATAAATTGGGCTCGTTTAACAAACATATTTTCTAACCATATGGGGATTATTGTTAATTTGGCTGATTAAGCAGTGAATTAAACCCATTTGCTTGGAGGTGGTGTGGGAAAGCATTATTGGATATAGCTATTAGCTCTGAGAGGTTTACTGCAGTTCCTGGCTGTTGCATTGTTTTAGCCTGGCAAATTACAGATATGCTGCTTCTATTAAACGAAACAAAGTAGGGGAAAAAAAGGTATGTAATTCTTTTGCACTTTTTTGTTATGTTTTGAAGTGGTGACTAAATCCAATATGTTATTTGCTTTGTACTGCAAAAATACATGCCTCTATATGTTTCTGAAATTTTTAAAGTGAATACTGCAGGTAAAATTACATTTGGTGGTTGCTCTGCAGAATGCCTGAACAGTGCCTATTGGCTAGATTTATTTTAGAGGATAGCTTTTTTTTTCATGCACCATGTGGAATTCAAAGTTTTTTGTTTTTTTTTATACTTTCACCCTGATGAGAGTCAGTTTATAAGAAAACATAGAACAGGTTTGTCCTTAAAAGGATTACACATGCTGAGTACTGTCAGGTGCTGGAACGTCTGATTATACTGGAATGCAGCAGAAGTGGCACTGGAAAGTAACAGCATATCACTGATACTGCAGCATCATGTAGGGAATTTCAAGCAGGCTAGCTTGCTTGCTAGAGATAATTACTACACTAAAAAAATTGAAATTATTTTTATGGATTTCAGAGATTCATTAGGAAGCTCTTGTTTCTGTACAGTACCTTGGACAGTAACTTTTTTCTTTGGTAGTACTGCAGCCTCTGCCCCATGGGAGTTAGAAATATGCAAAAATTAAATAATACAAATTTAAGACACATAAATGAATTCCAAAATACAGGTGAATTTATAGTAAAAATTCCTGAGAAAACCTTTGGTTGGCATTATGTCAAGGAGTTATATTTAATAGCTTATTACCAAGATTTTGTCTAATGTATAGCCTTAAAAATTTTTATGATTGTATTAAGTTATGCTAATGAGTGTGAAACCAGAAAATTAAAAGTTAAAAATTACTGACAGTATGTCATTTATAGAATTTTCATGTCTGATAGGTTCACTCTAAGAGCAAATACCAAAGTCCCTTTCTTATATCAAAATAAGATTGAATATTAATAGATGATTACGTATTAATATCAGATTGAGCTAGTTTTGATGACAAGAGTAGAAGTCCTTTAAATGGGTTCCCCTCCATTCTCCCCTGCCCTCCCCCAAAATTAGTGGTTCTCCACACTATTCTAGAAATAACTCATAGAATTTAATTTCAACACTTGTTTGTAAGTGAGGTGAATTGTTTTATCATTTTATTGCCATCTTTAAAAGCTATCTTCCTCCGTAAAAGAGCTGCCAAGCAGTCAGGTGTCTCTTCAGGATGGTCTTACCTTACCAGTTACTAGATTACTAAAGACAGTCATGTAGATCTATGCCATGTTTGAGTAGAAATACCAAGCTGGTGCCCTCATCAATTACACTGTGAAAAGTTAGGTTCAAGAAAATGTAATTAATTTTTTGGTATCTTGAAAACACCTCTGTTTCAGTACAGTATATTACAGTGTGGAATATTTTATAGATATCATTTTGTGCTGGAAAATGCAGAAGTGTGTAGCAAACACGCTCTTAAAATAATAGCTTAGTAAAGGAACGTAGAACAAAACTGCTAGGTACCACACGTTACTGTTATGATGTACTTCAGATTCTTTCTTTCTTCTGCCTGAGGAGTTCTAAAATAATAATGCTATTATACTTGAGTGCACTGTGTTCCATCCCATTTCAAGTGTGGGTGCTTGAGGTATTTTCTTACAGGCTTAAGGAGTATCAATAACCTATCTGTTCAGTTAGAAGAAAAAGAAAACCCTTATTGTCTTTAAATGTATGGTGGTTTTCTGGAAGTGTTATTTTTATCTTTTGCATCATGGTTCAGAGCAGGGCACACACAGTACTTCTCGCCACAGCAAGTTGCAGAAGCTTCAGTAGAATACAACCTGTTAGAAAAAGCTGTTTCCTCTGTGTATTTATATATCCTATATTCTGGAATATCACTTTAGGTCTAAGTAATTGGATCTGAGCTGTAAGGTATGTTTTGAACTCCCTACAATTCAAGGTATGGGCCTTTAGTGGTTGTTACCTCCTCCTGGTATTTTCCTGTGGTTTACTAGATTTGTCCAGTCCATGGCTTTATCAGTAGCTTGTTTTCAATATTCTGTATATTCCTTCGCATCACAATATGCAGCTTGAGTTTTCGACAAACTTTCTCTTCACTTTTCTTCAGAGTACTAGAGATTTCTGTCCTGCAAGGGAGTTTCTGTTCTCTCTTCACAGGCATGGAAATATCACTAAAACTGAGGAGCATGGAATCAGTATCAAAGCATATAAATTAGATTATTTTAGAATAATGTGTTTAGCATAAACAATGGTAAGACCAGTTTTTGTAATCCATAATGTTATCAAATTTGAGAAATACATTATAATGACAAGTTTATTGCTAAGACTACAAACATCTGTGTTTTAGTTTATCTCATGTAACATCTAAAGGTAAGATTGTAATAGTATAATTCACAAACTTTCCAGGTAAGTTTGGATTCACAAAATCAGATCTTTCACTGTCCAGAACTGCAAAATTTTATTTGCATTAAGTACAAAAGAAACATTACATTACTTTTTTTTTTTTTTATTTAAAGGTTTTCCTCACTTTTCATTGAAACTGGTTGGATGCAATCTTCTGCTCTATACTGCTACAGTCCATGTAATTTTTCCAGGTCCTGATTTTCATGATGATGTTGTTCCATCGTTATTTCCTGTATAGCTCTTCTGTGACTGCAGTACAATTGGTTCACTTATTTAGAAACAGAAAAAACCTTTGGATTGTCATCTTCACCTGCCTGTCCATGCAGGATCTTGTATGGTACATTGCTCATATACTAGATTTATTACTCCATGATCTGTTTTCAATTCTCACTACAGTTCAGAGAATTCATTCGTAGAATCCTACAAAGAGATACTGTAAACAATCAAGTGTGATTTCTTAATGTTTTGATAAATAAAATTTACCTCAGATACTATCGTTAAATATGTATATATATATATTAACACTTTTGGTTATGTATGTGGAACACACTCTTCTGCATTATTTACTGCCATGGCTAAACATCTAAGCTAATTTTAAAGGTTTCTCTAGATTATACAGAACTATAATGTCTACAGCACAAATGCTTGAAACCTTATAGTGACAAAAAGAACTAAATTCTCTTTTTCTTCAGCCAAAGTTCATTACAGGTCCCTTTCAGAAAGGGACGCTGCAGAGGATCACCAGAGAAGGACTTCCCAATGAATCCTTTCATGTGCTGAAGAAAACCAGAATCTCCTAGTGCCTGGTGATCACTAAGGGTGGGCACTTTTGTGGCACTTGAGTCAATAACTTACTGGGCTATTCTTCACCAGTGCTTTTAAATATTTGCACAGTACTGCTGAAGCAGGGCCAAGAACAGGACTGGTCAAAATTTTTATAAAGGCAAGTGAACCACATATCTCCATTAATGCAAAATTACCAGCTCTGCAGAATCTGAAATCTGCGGGACAGCAAGCTCAAGGCTGCAATGGAAGTTTGCCTGGCAACTGTGTCTGTGCTGTGCAGGGCATGGAGGTGCTCTCCACTGGGCCTGTTGGATGGTTGCTTCAGTCAATGCCCACTAAGGTGGTTGCTCCTTAGGCACTCAGGATCTGAGTAGTTGTGACCATACCTGCAGGAAGAAGTGGTTAAAATTTCCAAATTAAAAACAATGAGTATCCTAGACTTGCTTGGTTTTGAAAATTAATTTATTAGCTCTTAGCTGTGTTCTTTTTGTTTAGAGAGTAAAAAAGGCAAGTTGTATTTTTGGGGGGAGTGGGGAGAGGGACCATGGTTGATTACCTAACTTGCCATTTATTTTAGAATTGGAGTAGCTTTTTTGTTTTCTGCAATTGTGGTGCAACATATAAGTTTAAAATAGTAAAAATATGCAAATTCAAGGGACTTAGCTCTTTAGCAGTTTGAAAGAAGTTGCTTTTGTGTTGATAAAGTCTCTCTCAAACCCCATATCAGATGGCAGTCTGGTTCAAGGAGCTACCAAATGAGCCTGTTAAGATAACCACAAGCCTTATCAATTTTCCTGACACTAAGCTGGTGGAGCTGGACTTGAGCGCCTGGTTATACCAGTATGACCAGTGAAATATGAGCCACGGGAAATGCTGCTTAAAAAAACCCAACAACCTTTCAGTATTCTGTTAATCATGCTTGGAGAAGTCAGTGGTCATATTAAGCATCCTATATTGAACCTTTGCTGATCCTTAAAGTGGGATGGTTTTGGACTAATGAAAACTGTATATTTTCATAATAC